CATGGATTGAATTGTAACCGACAAATATGACACAGTAATTTCAAGATGAATATTGTTGTGTGTACATAGCAATACACATAAGGGTGTACATAATGTGAGAGAGGTCGGGCCCACGCGGCCCCACCCCTCTCACAGTACGTACACCACTATATACCATGCTATGTGTACATAGCATGGTCCTTTCAAGATTTCGTCAAATGCGAAAGGGATTAGACAGCAAAATTGTTAACAATTTTCTCATCTTAACAAACTTGCATGCCAATGTAAAGCTTGCACTCCTTTGCAACGATGCATTAGTTTCGTGTTTAAGATTCTTTAGGTTCGTTTCATGATCCAAGTGTTGAACAAAAATTTCAAATAAATTATATCATTGTTTTAACGGTTTAAGTTTTTAAATTAAGTAGATTAACGTGATACAAAGGAAATAAATCAAGGTTTTAAATTCAAGTTTTATTATCACTCAATTACGAAAAATTGTGTATGTCAAAGCTTAACACATGATAAATTTCATATTGAAAATTTATAAAACCTATATATATGTTGTTTAGCGCAATGGATTTGTCGAAAAAGAAGGGGACATGTTGTTTATTTGTTTATGTAAAATTTTGTAACAAAAATTGCTTCACGAGTGAAAGAATTTACAAGAAAAAAAACATCTTTTTTTTTTTTTTGTGAAAATTACTAAGTTTTTTCGTTCCAAGTAGTGATACCATTATATTGTAAGTAATTAATAAATCAAATTTATTAATTGAAAAGTCCATCCACAAAAGCTAGCAAAGTGCTTCGAATACTCGATAAAGAAATATTAAAAGCTGGAAGAATCAAATTATTGGATAGGCGCAATTTGCCAATTCAGACACATTTACTTAAAATATGCTTAATATTTTATTATTATTGTCGTGTATATTTGAATAATGGCATTTACTTGAATAATAAAGTGTCGGGGAGGATTTCATGATTACATATAAATGTAAGGTAACGTGGGACAGTTGAGATTTAGTCTCAAACATTGACAATTTGAAGCAGAGTATAGATTTCGTAAGGAGAAGGAAAACCCTTTCTTTGATGAATGATTACTTCGAGGAAAACTATGAAAGTGAAATTGAAAATATTACATTGGAAGTCACCAAACTTGCGGGTTCTTTTCGTGTTGGTTATTTTATTTTTATCACTCAACTTATAATTTTTATTTTAGTTTGACTATTTTGTAACTATGACCAAAATTACTATGAGTCCCATGTGATTAATGTTATATAATATTAATACGTAGCATGCACGTGGCAGAGAGGTCCTGTTAGACGATCGACATCGGTAAATCATGTTTCAATGGTATTGGATCAATCAAACCGAGTGATATCATCTTTGTCTTGGGCTCGACCTATTAGCCCCACGACCCATCCCCTTCCTCTATATATATGCAAACTCATTCAAATTTAAGGTAAGTTTTTACTTCCTCTAGTCAAATCCCTTTCTCCTATTTTTCTCTTGCACTCCATATATTTTGTTCCGGCAATTTACTTGATTATCGGAGTGCAAACAATTGTCGGACTTTTTTCTCAGTCGATGACCTTTGCATCCTAATGGGATGTTCAATGTACAGACAAAGTTTAAGTGAACAGGGAGGAGGTCGGAGTCTTATTGGCCACATTATCTACGGATTTCAAGGTCAACAATTAAGTCATTGCATGACCTAATGCTTATTTGACATTAAATTACTAATAAATTAATGTGAAGAAACACAAATGAATGAACTCTAAGGGGTTGTTCTCTTTGTGTTTTAATTTTGAGTTTTGAATTCGTTTTGAATTTTGTGTTTTGAGTGTCCATTTTGAGATTGTTGAAAAAATGTTTTTTTTTTTTTTTTGTATTTTAAAAAATTGTTTTGAAAATACCCAAAATGCGTTTTGAAAATTTTGATTTGATTATAACTGAAAACACCAAAAACGACAAATTTGTCATTTCTTTGTAAATTTTGAATTTGTTTAATAGGAAAGAGAACTCGTTTTCACTGTTTTGGAAAATCGAAATTAGAAAACGATTTGAAAATGGTAAAAAGACCTTATATTTTGAAATGTAGATTGAAAAATTCATTAATCAGAATTTACATGAACTTTTCACAAATTTATTATTCTTTTGTACAAGGTAACAGATAAAGAAATGGCTCATTAAGAACTTGTTCCCAGTATTCATTAGTAAAATGATTTATTTATTTTTATTCCAGTCGACTTCTACGTGCTTTCATGCGTAAATGGTGCTCTCTCTTTATAATTTAATTGTATTTGATTCTCTATAAACATTTAAATCAGTGAAATATCGCCTTTTTTCGTACTCACTAAAAAAAGTATATCTTAGTTTATATATTTAAAGATTATTTTTGAAGGAATAGACTTCTCGACCCAAAACCATGAACTCACATAGTCGAAAAATTCGAATTTTAGAAGGATGAAATTGATGGAAGAAGGAAAAGTTTTCATTCTTTTCTTCTTTGAAGGGAAATAGTTAAGACGAATCTTAATGCCCTCCTCGATCCACATAATGTGGAATGCTTTAACTCGAGCAGTATAATATGTGAAACTAGTTAGACTAAAATAACAACATTTGCAGCTACCAAATGCTTATAATACTGTAATTATGCTATGATTAACTAAAGTATTGGAATGATGTTTTTTAAGGTCAAAACTCTCTCTTTTTAGTTCAAACAAGCAACTAAAAAATGGGGAAAGAAGCAGTACGGACAAACTAATATTTAAGGTTTTGCTACAAGGTGTAAGTAACTTACAGCATTACCAGAAGTGAAAACCAGTACGGGCTTTCTTTAATGGCATCCATAAACCTAAATCACCCCGAAAAGGGAACTCATGAGTAAAAGGAAACAAACAAAAAGTACGAGGAAATGGTCGCAACTCTTCCTAAAGAAAAAGGGTGGATTTCTCAAATTCTTGTCAAGTACCACGACACTTGGTTCAACCCTCATGTTATTTGAGGGAGTAATATTAGAACAAGACCATCATGAGTGGTACAACACGGTTGAAAGCCCTTACTTTCGCCATCATGAGTCAAAAGCTATATGATTTTTCCAAACACCCTTTGCTCACCAAAAATCCCCAAGAATGCTTTTCATTTTTGGAAGTTTTCTTGCTCCAAGAGAATGAGAAGCCAAAGGTTGACATTTCCTCTTCACCTAGGGGGCTTTCTCCATTCACAGCCCTTATCCACATTTACCGAGTTGGTTACATCTTCGGTCTGCTGGATACTTTAAGTTGCCCGGAACCCAAAAGATGTGTTTGTTTCGAGCAGGTATCACTTATCTACCAGAACTTTCCCTAAAAGAAAGTTTTAGCATGTTCTGTAAAGGGGTGTATCAGTTTGGACCATACTGGGATCACGCTAGGAGTTTGGAATGCAGGCATGGAGTGTTTTCGAAAGGTACTGATACTATCCCATGAGGATCTGAAGAAAAATCCATATGATTGCGTGAAGAAATGGCGAAACATTTATGTCAACCCATTTCCATGAAGGAAGAGAGAGATGGGATTGTTAAGAAACAATAAAACTCGGCAGTTTTGAGAACTTGAGCAACTTGGAAGTGAACAAGACTGGTGTACAAAGATTTTCTTCTGCTATTTCCATCAAATTTCATGTGTTTTTCAGAAAAGGCGATGTTTTAGATTGGAAAGTAACACGTAAAGTCTGTTCCCTCGCACCTTTTCTTTGAGATTCAATTTATGCTTTCCACCATTTCAGCACGAAGACTAATTTTTTATTTTTCCAAGCTACTAACTGAATGAGGTTCAAAATATCATGTAGATTCACTGACTTCCAAAATAATTGAAAACATGCTAATAAAGCAATTAATGGATGATAAAATGAGAAAAAAACTTATCATAGTATCTTTTATATTATATCACCAACCAACGTGTGCAAGAGTTGAATAAATTAAGAGAGAGAATAGACACTGCTTTTATATGTATAAGAATTTGACCTATATTTGTGCCTTCCTCAGCCCCCTATAATCTAATAGTTTGGGCATCGTAATTCGAAGAAGTCCGTCGCTGCACAAGAAACAGTCATTAACGTCAGCTTGATATGCACAAGTAATTTATCTCTGTCACAACTGCAGATTGTTATTTGCCACTTTTCATATCTAAATTCTGACAAATATGAAAAGAATAAGAACCATAGAAGACCCTAATTGTAAACTAATATGATACTTTAACTGTTTATATTACAAATAAACCCTTCGATTTTTTGATAAGAGAATCACACCATTGAGATATCTCTAGTCGCATTTCAGAAATTGTCATGTCATGTTGTTTGATGAAATTTTAGCATCAAGACGGGAATCTTAAATTTTTTTATCATCTTTTAAGAAAGGATTTGAATATAATGGGAATTCCTTATGCCTCGCCCTCATCAAGAAAAATAATAATTCATTAGAAAGGCCACAGCAACTAGCAGGGAAACAGCCTCTCTGAAGCAAGAACTCCTGCTATATACTATTTAATTGTTTCAAAAATTGGAACATCTTGAACACAGAGTGTCAATAGCATATGCAGGCTGAATGATTTCTGTTCCAGTGAGTTTCGAGTTTTTTTATTATCTCTAGTTCGAATGATGCAAACTTTGAGTCAAGTAGTCAACCTACACAGATTATGTTGGATCAACTAAAATAATTGGATTTCAAACACATTCTTCATTCCTATGTGCCATAAGATCAATCAAGTCTGTTGAGATATTCAAAATTAAAGAAAGGTAATGGTCTGACCCATTGTAATTATGACTATAGCCACTGTTCTGAATTAGAATTTGTTAGAGATAAAAATGTAAATGGAATAATTGATCCTTGATTAAATTTTTATTTTTTGGGCACCAAAAGAATTTGTCAATATGCTGGAAAAACTTTCTTTTCAAGGGGTACCTCTAGGACTAAATTGTTATTCTATTTCTACAGAGGAAAATTGTTTTTCCAAGTCACAAGATAAGAGTCATTAGCACTTAATTTGATTACGGATGAAGATAGATTTCCACCTTAGGTAAGCATTTTACAACAATTTTTAGTTGTTAGTAAAGGAGACAACGTGTTACTTTTGTTTTACACCAACATACAGAGCCTGAAACAGTTATTTTGACCTATCAAATAGTCATAATGATGTCATGATATTACTAAACATTTGACTAAGAAGAAACATGAAAACAACATGGTAGAAACGGAAACTTACACAAACACAGCTGATATAGCGTCCTTGTTCACGTTAGCAGGAAGTGACCACGTCATTTGATAAGGTCCTTGTAAAATCTCCCTTTTGTGATAATGGGAAGTTAATTCATTTGCACAATTGTCCCCTTTCCATGACCAGATTGAACGATTTCCAGTTACAGTCAAACTGCCAAAAAATGGGATGTCTTGCTAAGACTATCAAAAGTTCAACACACTGGGTATCATAATTGACTTGATAGCTACATATTTCAGTATTAAGCGGGATATCATGTACATCAGACGGATCATAGTAATTGAAAATAACACAGTTTCATAAAACAGGTGCATAAAATTAATTAAAGGCTTAGATGTGAATCGTCAAAATTTTATCTTACACTTGGTCATTGACTTCCACCTTTATGCTGTTGATGTTGACACCTGGAAGTTCTAATGTAGCTACATAACTGCGTCCAGATTCTACAACGTCCATCCTTGGGGACCACTTAAATTCTGGAGGATTGAGTGAAATAAAAGAAATGAGAAACGGCATATATATTTCATTTCAGTGCACTAGGCAAACATGTTGGTACTACAATACTAACAAAACCCAAGATAAAGATGATAATATGAAGTAATAACTTGTCAAAAAAGTTAACACTTCAGGTGTTGTCTGTTCTAATAACCTGATTCCAATGTGCGATTCCTTTCCTTACACTGAAACTGTTGCTGCCCACAAATTCTGCTTGGTCTGGCAAATTTTGGAGCTTCGGGTAAAGGCTCAACGTATCTGGGACCCTGCACTGCAGACTGAGTTTCTCTAACTTTCGGAATGGGTTCCATCCATGGTCTAGAAAACAAGGGTGGCTTGGAGTTAGAGCACGTGTTTGCATAGCCACTAGATTTGAGAGGCATAGTAGGTCGAGTAATGTTTTCCTGTACCAGAGCTAAAAGGTTAGGAAACAGATCCTGGAAACTGATAGCGACAGAGATATAGCGTTCAATTAATTTATGCACCTGTTCGCTTGAAGCCTGCCTCATGTGGCAAGCTTGAGAGCTAGAACCTTGCCTCGCAAAATACATTCTGTTGTCACACCTCCGCATGACCCTATTCAAACTGTTACTGCAACTCTGCAGGAAGTAATGCAGGTAAATGGTTATTGGGTAATAACAAATAAAATAAATTATCTATACTAGAGCTTATGTAAATAGAGGAACCAAAAAATATAAAGGAACATTTGACATAATTATTCAACTGCTTTTTCCATTGATCCTCGTATCTTTTCATAATCATCATTACTTGATGTTTTGGCAGAACTGATCTCAGAGTTTCAAGAGTTCAAACTTTAATCAATAGTTGCATCTGCCTGTTATCTTTCAATTTCTCTGCCTCTCCTCTTTTTCTTTCGCACGCGCACATGTGTTTCATGGCATGCTCATTACTCTAACGTAAAATAACAGAAATTAGCTATTCTCTTTAATGTATTAATATCATTTCAAATATCTTTGAAGCAGTTACTAGAATATTCCATCTCAGAGTTATCACAAATGTCCTGAAAAACTATTAATAATTGAGACTCTAGTGAAGTTCTAGTTATGTTCCTCACTATTATTCAGCATTATTGGTTTCTATACCCTTATTGTTGGAAATCCTTTTCCCCTACAGAAAACTTAAGCATTTAAGAGCATTGTCTATCGAGATTTACCTCATTTACATCCAATTCTCTAAGTTCAGAATTCCATTTCATCCTCTTCGGATCATATCTATCGGGAATCAGTATAGACGCTTTGGTGAAGCAAAACCATTGCATCACCCTTATATAAGTCAACAGAAAACAAATACATTAATGTATCTTCCTAAAAAGAAACAGCCTGAGCACAGAGTCAGAGTTGTGGGTTCTATTCTCAGGCATAAGAATGCAGGAAGACAACGGTAAGAAAATCATTTTGAGGTTTCTTAGTTTTTACTACACATCCTCAATTAATCAGAATCAATCACTACCGAAGCGCGCAAAGTTTCGAAAGATTTTTTAATACATATATCTTGCAGATTAAATGATATAATATATCACAATTGATATTAGCCTGTGGAACGATTGAACTGCAGAGTGCCATATATAAACCTTCTCAACATTATAAGGTCAAGCCAGTTCAGAAAATCAATAACAACATCAAGAACACTGGAATATTAAATTTAGCAGAATTTCTTTTCCTTAGTCAAACTAAACAGCAAAGAGCACCATATATACACTTCCTCTGTTTACCTTCAATTTTCTTAATACAAAAACCCTGCTGAAGGTATTACCAACTTTAAACTTCTATATTTTAAGCAATTAATTACAGATATTTATCTGAACCAATTGCTCATAACAAATTTCCATCTCAATAATACTTGCAAAAGATGAAATTTTAACATTGCTAAAATATGAAAAGAAAAGGGGGTAATCAAAGAATTAAGAAATTTTCTTCTGTTTTTTCAGTACTACTTATCAAACTAAACAAACAATTATAGAAAAATTTACCATGGGGAATACGTGGGTGGCAGATGCAGATAAATCTTCAGGAGAAGCTAAATGGGCTGCAATCATATTCACTCTTCTTCTCACAGCCTGACCCTCCATTTCTCTACTTTCTTTAAACACAGAGCAAACTCCTACAAAATTTGTATATGAATTTCTTTAGTCTTAACTGAATTTAAGTGGGATTATTCTGTACTGGATATTTCTGAGAAGAATGGTTGCGATGGCGATGGCGATGGCGATGGCGATGGCGATGCAGGATTTTAGATATTTTTGTGAAGACTGTTTGATCAAAAAAATCTTTCCAAAATATCAGCACTCATAATTTTAATTTGGGATAATTAAAAAAATAGTCCATTTTCTAATAGAAATTTTTATAACTCTTCAAGATTTTTGTAAAATTGAGAATTTTCATGTGAATATTTTCTAGTAAATATATCCCAAAATTTTGATCAAGTTGTAAGCAACATGATACCAATGAATTTGTCAGATTCGACAATTTGGATTTTTATGAAGAAGTTAAGGGGATAATATAGTCCAAGAAATGTTCATAGTGGATAACTAGGCAAGAAGAGCATGATAATCGCAAAAAAAAAAAAAAAACTTTATAGAGTTGAAAACAAGCATAGATTCGAAGATACCCGAATAAGGCAATTTTCGACTGATTGCTGAATTTATGGACGAGCAAGAGACAATCTAAAAAATCTTAGGCCATGTTTGGGAGGGATTAGATTTTTCTACAGTAAATCAATTCTCATTTTCAACCACACATAATTTTTTCCTCACATTAATAATTTTTCTTCTTTTTCAACCACACATTTTCCATCATATCACTATTCAAAATCAATTCTTCCTCCAAAAATCTCTCCCAAACAAACTCTTAATAACCTTGAACGTTTTGATTATTGCAATCAAATTGTGAATGATTTTAGTCTCTACAAAAGTTATCAAGTTTGTAGAACGTTAAACTAGAAAAAAATAACTAACTTTTATGTTGTAATTTTCTATTCAATTTTGAAATGAGATAGGCTATTGTGGATAACCTCTGGCCTAGTAAAATAATGTGGTCCTTCTGCCTTCAACAAATTTTGTTTTAATAAATATATCATTTCCTTCTCCTCGTCAAGAGTTCTAAAATTGATAAGAAAAAGTAAAAGACGAAGATATTTTGGAAATAAATCGGTGACGTCTAGTTTTTCTCAATCGTTTTTGTTACGATTTTTATTCTTTAACAAAACGGGCACTTTGTGGAGGAATTCTTAGTAACATGAACTTAAACAGGCACTTTTAATATAGGCACATGTTACATATAACTGAGGAATTATATTTCATTACCAAACAAGTAGTCACCTTTGATTTTTAATAAAAGATTTTGTCCATAGTTGATAACATTAAAAATAATTAATTAACACAAGGATTTGAGCTTTCCTTTTCTTAACATGGTTGACTTGTTTGGATGAATCCCAAAGTCTCTCCCTCTCTCTCTATAAACTCAATAAATTCAAATGAACTATCAGTCCTTCTAAAACTTAAAACAAGTATTGAAATTTCAATATTTATATACTCAAACGAACCACAATTTTACAAAACATGTTAAAGGATATACTCATTATCGACTATAGTCAAAAACAAATAATGAAAATATAATGACTTTGAAAGTCTAAAGATAACTAACCAAGAGGGGAAGAATTTATTTTTTAAATTTTTTTGAAGAATTAATCTATATTTAAGCAAGTAAGTATTAAATAGATCAATTCAAATACTAAGTACAAATATGAAAGGGATAAGTAAAAGTGAGAGATGATGCAAACAATATAATTGTGGGAGTTCAATAAAAAACAATTGTCTATATTCTCCGTTACGAAGCTCTCCGGTACGAGCAATGTCTTTTCACTGTATTGATTGACTTATGATGCAATTCAACAATTTACAACGCTTCAAGTGACTTACAAACAAGGAGTATCGATTCTTATACAATGTTGAGTTTTATGAGATCTCAACATGATCCACTATTAAGCTTTTAATAGGACCTCAATATGGCCTATGCTATTGACCACAATATGACTCACACGGTGACTTACAATAAGGAGCACAAATCCTTATATAATGTTGATCTTTACAGGATATCAACACGACTCATACTTTATCAAAGTGATTTTGCAATGAAATTCCTCTTTTGATAAATAATACAAACAAGTTAAGCATTGAGAGATGCCAACACTTAAATGATTAGTAATAAATGATAGGCCAAGTGTTAGATGAACACTACAACAAAAACAGCCTACGGCATCGTTCAAAAAACGTTGTCGTAGAGTGGGAGTTCGACCGCAACGTTTGAACGCGTGTTGCAAATCCAGGTATTGTCGTAGAGTGGGAGTTCGACCGTAGAGGTTTGCTACCGCAACATTTGGCAAACGTTGCGGTATCCATCAAACGACAATACCGCAACGTTTCCCAAACGTTGCCGTTGGTCATTTTACAATTTTTTTTAAAAATTTGCATAATTAATTTATTTGATTTCCAACAAACCTACTGAAACAAATGCTTACAAATTAGTCGTATGTAATCAAATGTTACATAATTCTAATAAACAAAAATAAGGGATATGATTCAATACAATATGCTAACATCTTTNAAATCCCTATCAAACAGGCTCTTAAGCAAGTAAGTATTAAATAGATCAATTCAAATACTAAGTACAAATATGAAAGGGATAAGTAAAGGGGAGAGATGATGTAAACAATATAATTGTGGGAGTTCAATAAAGAACAATTGTCTATATTCTCTGTTACGAAGCTCTCCGGTACGAGCAATGTTTTTTCACTGTATTGATTGACTTATAGGGCAATCCAACAATTTACAACGTTTCAAGTGACTTACAAATAAGGAGTATCGATTCTTATACAATGTTGAGTTTTATGGGATCTCAACATGATCCACTATTAAGCTTTTAACAGGACCTCAATATGACCCATGCTATTGACCACAATATGACCCACACGGTGACTTACAATAAAGAGCACAAATCCTTATACAATATTGATCTTTACAGGACTTCAACACGACCCACACTTTATCAAAGTGATTTTGCAATGAAATTCCTATTTTGATAAATAATACAAACAAGTTAAGCATTAAGAGATGCCAACACTTCAATGATTAGTAATAAATGATAGTTCAAGTGTTAGATGAACACTACAACAAAAACAGCCTACGGCAACGTTCAAAAAACGTTGTCATAGGTCTACCGCAACGTTTGAACGTGTGTTGCAAATCCAGGTGTTGTCGTGGAGTGGGAGTTCTACCGCAACGTTTCCCAAACGTTGCAGTAGAGGTTTACTACCACAACGTTTGGCAAACGTTGCGGTAGTCCCAAACGTTGCGATATCCATCAAACGACAATACCGCAATGTTTCCCAAATGTTGTCGTCGGTCATTTTACAATTTTTTTAAAATTTTGCATAATTAATTTATTTGATTTCCAACAGACTTACTGAAACAATTGCTTACAAATTAGTCGTATGTAATCAAATGTTACATAATTCTAATAAACAAAAATAAGGGATATGATTCA